AAGTCATATTTCTATATAGAATAAATTATAGTAAGTATTTATAATCCAAAGTTTGGAGTTTTGTTTAAGAAAGAAAAATACTTCGAAAAGGTTAGACTATATTTCAGTAGCTAGTTCGTGAAACCAAGTGAAGCGTTGCCTGGTGGTAGAAAAAGAACTGCAATTTCACACAAACGAAGCAGCGAATAATAGGAAAAGTATGAATTGTAGGTTAAGCCATCAAGAGCAGATGAAGCTTTACACTTGTAACACAAGTCTTACATTTACAGCTATTATAATAATAACGGTACAAAATCCAATATGTTTGCAGATTACACCACAATTACTATATGTGCAAAAAATGTGAATCAGCTTCAAACCAGAATTGAACGTATGTTGGATAAATTTTCATCCTGGCGCCAAAAAAATCGGCTAATCCTAAATCCAAATAAGACTACTGTGATAAATTTTAAAATCCATCATATAATTAATATAGAACAGGGTGGCGCATCGAAAACGAAACAGACGCATTTACTTTTTTTTTTTTTGAAAAACGCTCAGACCCGTCAAATTTCTTCTGAAAGTAGTACAAACTAATCTGATGTACCTATTAAAGTCTACTTTAAGTTTTAAATCAATAAACCTTCAAAACTACTGAACTGAAGCTGATGTATTTTACATCATTATAAAGGGAATTGAAAGACCTTTAAAATAAGGTATCACTCGACCCCTCTTTCCATTTAAGATTTTAGGGTTGCTGTCACCCCCGTCCAGGGGGTTGTACGTGTTAACGTGGTTTTTTGCCAAACTTGTGTCCCCCTCGAAAACAAAATCGACGAGTCTGAGCGTTTTTCCAAAAAAAAAACTGAGCTGCCAGTAAATGCGTCTATTTCGTTTTCGATGCGCCACCCTGTATGTGTATATATATATATATAACTTGAGACGTGGTCATTCTCGTCTAGAGCAGTTAGGTGAAAAATTAAAGCCTACTTTTGTTGGGTACCTCGACAAAATTTAAGCAAGGAGGACTCTTTATACTTTTTTTTATTCTCTCTGGCTTTCAATGGTCTTTGCCATCATCATCAGGAGCTATATATATACATATATATATATATATATACAGATGACCTAATTTTACCTGGCTCTTGTAAATTACTCGTTACATATTTTGACAGCAAACTAAATGTTCAGGAACATATTGACCGTGTTTGAGGATATTTAAGTTAAGCATATTTTGCTATACAACAGCAAAATTTTCTAAACGAAAAAATCCTATTATGCACTGGCCTATAGTCACATCTTACAACATTATTGTATGAGGAAAATCATGTAAGATTCAGATAATATTTTTGGCCCAAAAAGTAGCAAGATTAAATTTTGGAATGACTTGACTCCTCCACAGAAATGTTCGAGTCAATGGAAATTCTTAATGTGTCAATGTTATTACGAGTACAATACAAGAAACCAAAATTTGTAAATACTTCATAAGCAGACTACCTACCACCTATTTCAACTGCTTCATATTATTCAACAAAAGTTCCAGTTAAAATTCAATAAATTAGTAATTATATTAAACAGAGCGATTAAGGAATTATTGCTAAAAGATTAATTTTTCAAGGTAGCTGAGTACTTAGAGTGTACGGACTTGTACTTGAGTACATAAACATGGTATCAATAAAATGATTCATTCATTCGTATGTATTGTTACATTTTACAAGACCCTTGCGGCGACCCAGTAGAATCTCTTACATTTTCCGTTTCAAAGCTCGTGAATATCACCAGCTACCACTAATTAGAAGGATATTAAATCTTTTATGACATTTTTCATAAAATTGCGAATGTAATAATGACAGCGGTTGCTCCCGGCGCTGAACAGGAAACATGAGAGTTTATTTACAGCAGTTTTTTGTTTATTAGCGACGTTAAATTCAGCCCTGTTTCCTAATTAGTAAAACACTACACATAATAAACAGCACATTAATCTCGAAAACTGGGACGAATGTAAAATGGCAATGCATATTTTTATGTACATTGTGCATTTCTGATTTATATTTATGGCCTTATGACGTCATTTCCCCTACCCGATAAGCCCATTTTTATGTAGATGGCACACAAGTATATGTACTTATCAATTCCTCCAGCTCAAACATTGCCTGCTGTTGATAAATAAAGACCTTGTCTGTATGACTAAAGGTTCTCGTAACATACGTTTAGACTAGACTAAAAGTATAGCGATGTGTGGGCCAAAGAAATGAAGATACAATTCTGAAATTCTGCTGAAAATAAATCTCGTTCACAATACTTTGAGAATAAGCTCGGTTAGCGTGTATTTTAGGCTTATACTTGGATGAAAACTTACGATTTGAGGAGCATGTCTAGATAGGCGTGTTGATTTATGATCCAAATATGTTATATGAACCAAAAAACAAAAACCATACATCGAAATTCTATACAGGGTGTCGCATCGAAAACGAAACAGACGGATTTACTGGCAGCTCAGTTGTTTTTTGGAAAAACGCTCAGACCCGTCGATTTTGTTTTCGAGGGGGACACTCGTTTGGCAAAAAATCACGTTAACACGTGCAGCCCCCTGGGCGAGGGTGACACCAACCCTAAAGTCATAAACGGAAAGGGGGGTCGAGTGATACCTTATTTTAAAGGTCTTTCGATTCCCTTTATAATGATGTAAAATACACGAGCTTCAGTTCAGTAGTTTTGAAGATTTATGGATTTAAAGCTTTAAGTAGACTTTAATAGGTATACTTTATCTGAAGTCACTTGAAACACTGTGAAATACCGGGTGCGTTTTATATATCTATATTTAACACGCTCTGTTGCTGCAAAAATCGGCAAATTTCGCAGCAAATATCCCCCGTATAAGATCAAAGGCAGTTTCACCGGTCCACGTGGAGTAAAGCACGCCTATGCGTGGACATAGCCAATGAGAAAGCGTGTATTTCAGAGCTCCGAACAAGTGCAGGTGGCTACTGAAAATTGAAACAGTTTAGCCAGTGCCGTGTAGCGGTGAATAAACGTGTTTTCTTTAGTCTGTCCGTGTTTTTTCATAGATTTTATTTAGTTTGTGTGTTTTTGACTTTTGAATACTCAGTTTACTTGTTGATTTAATTGTTGTGTTGATTGTTCTTGTGTGTCCTAAATATGGCTCTTTGGAGACCTTGGGAAAATGCTCCAAGCCACGAGGAGATGGTTGATGAACCTGTGCAGGCAGACTTCTTTCATAAAGATTTAGAGGAACAGACCCAAATAGTAATCCTAAATATGTATGATTGTCTGAAAAACGAAAATCCAGTTTCCTCGCAAAATCAAATTTTAAACAGAATTTGTATCCTGACAAAAATCAGTCGGTCTACCATTTATCGGGTTATAAAAAGAGGAGATGTAGTCAACCATTCCTTCCACAGAAAGCGCATAGGGCAAAAATTAAAAAGAATAGACGTGGGTTTTCAGGAAGATATTCGTCGTATAATATACGGATTTTATAAAGAAAATTTGGTGCCCACGTTGGAAATGATACGGGATAAATTAAAAGATTATCCTGAAGATTTTTATAATTACAAATGCTTAGACTCACTGCACTGTATTGTAAAACTGTTTGGTTTTCAATACAAAAAATTAGGTAAAAGAATGGTGATTATGGAGTCGTCTCGAATCGTTGAATTGCGCCAAGAATTTTTGCACAAAGTTAAAATCTATAGAGAGCAGAAAAGAAATCTGATTTACCTGGATGAAACGTGGTATGATACCCATGATGTTGTGCAGTACGGCTGGGTTGACGACAGCAACAAGTGCATTTTAAATGCACCATGCAACCGTGGAAAACGAATCATTATTCTCATTGCTGGCAGTGAAAATGGATTTATACCTAATGCCTTGCTGTTATCTGCCAAAAATATCAAAGAATCATGTGCCGACTATCATGAGGACATGACCTCCGACTTATTTGAAAAGTGGATAGAGCAGCAGTTAATACCAAACATTTCCCCAAATTCAGTGATTATTATGGACAATGCGCCATACCATTCCCGACAGAAAAACAAAATTCCGAATACAGGCACAAAAAAACAAGACATTATTGATTTCATGAAGGATAAGGGAATGGAAATACCACAAAAATCAACCAAAGCCATATTATTGGATCTTATTAAAAGACAAAAATTTGAAAAAGAGTATGTTGTTGACAATTTGCTTCTTCAAAATGGCCATGAAGTATTACGTCTATCTCCCTATTACTGCATTTTTAACCCGATTGAGTTGGTCTGGGCTGCTTTAAAAAAAAAGTAAGAAAACATAATCAGACCCCTCAATTAAGTGAATCGCTATTGGCCACAATAAGAGATGCAGTATCTCATATTGCTGCCACAGACCTATGGAAGAAGTGTTCTAGGCATATTATTAAAAAAGAAAATGAATATTGTGTTTTGCCTCCTGTAAATCCCGTTGTAATTCCTCTACAAGATGACTCTAGCAACAGCTCCGAAGGCGAGGATGATATATAAATACCTATAATGTAAGTCTTTATGTACCTTTTTATATACCTACCTGCTATGTAAATATTTGCTTATGTCAAACGTTGGAATTCTGTAATTTTTCCATTTCTTAACTTTCAGTCAACATAAATTAAACTCCCAATATAAGTATTTTTTATCCCAAATCAAAAAAATAAAAAGATAGTAAAATCCATTTATTGTGATATAAAAACATTATTATTATCGTTCTAAATAAATGACCGCACGCCTATGATACGTCATGAAATTACAAAGGACGCGCCGACCAAAGGTTTTTATTTTTATGCTATTTCAAGTGACTTCAGATAAAGTATACATCAGATTAGTTTGTACTACTTTCAGAAGAAATTTGACTAAAAGAACTTACTAAGTAAGTGCGTCTGTTTCGTGTTTGATGCGCCACCCTGTATATACTGTGGTGCTGGTTCAAAATTCCAACTGGTAAAATCGCGGAGCATTTACGGTTTTTCGTCCACAATGTAACACACTGTGTATCTGCTGAATGCCAGACTGATGTTTCTCGTAATTTTGACAATAATGGTATATTTGACAAAAGCTGATGTGAATTTAGATACAAAAGAGGCAGCAACTCCGAACGAACATTATGAAAACGAACCTATGTACGATGTTTACGAATACGTGAATAATTTACATTTACAGAGATGTGCGCTAGTAGCCGTAGGCTTAAAGTATTTCTCAGTGAGTATCAAGATTCAGTTTGTAATCGTGTCAATATCTGTTTCTCGAGATTGAATTAATTTTAGAGATCTCACGTATCATAATAACCTTACAATGCTTTGTACTTACACCGCATTATTTCAAAAATGTGTTGCTTCCAATGCAGTGAGGTTTTATAATTCAACCGACTCTGCCTGGAGAAGCAAAAGCGTTCTAACGTTCAGCAAGCTGGCTGAAAGTCAGAACTGTTGCGATTCGTTGTTATTGTCTTTCCTTTTTGTTCCTTTTTTTGTATTTTCGCCCATTTATTATTGGTTCTCATCTGGTTCCTTTTTGATAAACCAACAGAAGATAGATTTCTCAATTTGCTTTTTCTTTTTCATTAGCTCACTCAGCTTAACATCAATCGATTTATGTTTATATTTATATTTCCCCAATCAGTGGAAACGCGCTATAGTTATTCCGCTACCTAAGTGTTCTGATCCTACTTACTATGGTCAACTGAGACCGATCAGTATACTGCCAATTTTTTCTAAAGCATTGGAACGGGTTGTTTACGAGCATATTCTAACAAAATCATTCCATCTAAACAATCTGGATTTCGACAAGGTCATAATACAGCTTCGGCATGTATCTAACAGACAATATAACAATGTCACTTGATAACCAAAAAGCAGTAGCTCACATACTTCTTGACTTCACTAAAACATTTGACACCATTAATCACTCACTTCTTGTATCTAAATACAGTTATTATGGATTTTCTGAAAAACCTCTTTCGTTTATTCAAACCTACCTAGAAAATCGGTATCAAAAAGTTCGTCTAAATCAACAGTACTCTACCGAACAAAAAATTTGTTGTGGTGTATCACAGGGATCAGTCTGAGGACCCCTATTATTTTCATTATATATGTCAGATTTAGAAACAAGTAAAATTCTGAAAGTTATTGTACCTATTAATTTTCAACAAATTCTTTTTTTTACATCTCGTATTGTTAAGGGGATTAGATGGTAGAATAGATATATAATCTAAATCTCGCCTCCTGTAAAAATATTACAAATAAAAGAAGTTAATTATTATTATTATTATTTATTTATTTATTTTTAGGTTTGTATTTATCTTATTTTGTATTGTATGTATACTAAGTGACATATAAATCCGAACACCCAGTTTAAATGGTTTTATTTTAATAAAACTTGGTAAATGTATTTATCTTACTGTAAATAACAAGTGAAAAAATTTTCAGCCTTATCAGTTGGACATTCCGGTTTTTATACTGCTTTTTTTAATTCACTAACGCTCTAAAAATGAATATTTCAGCCGCAGTAAAGAATCAACGTTGGCGGATTTTGGTTCTTGACATCCTTTACGATCGGTTACGATGCCTAGAGTACGGAGACCTGTACGAGTTCGTCAACTTGTCGTCAACAGTGAGTTTGATAGGGCCGTATAGTGGGACTTCGGGAAGCTGGACTTTCTTTTCGGGCAATTGCAGTTAGAGTGCAAAGAAGTGTAGACACTGTGGTTAGGTGTTGTCAGGCATGGCTTCAAGAAGGCCGTACGCAAAGAGCAAGGGGCACTGGACGCCGCCGTAGAACAACAGATCGTGAAGATTATTGGCCGTTTCTCCACTACCAGGTCCATTGCAAATGAATGGTTTGCAGAACACGGAAGACCTATTGGCATGCGAAGTGTTTACCGACGAATGAGAAGTTTTGGCTTGTCTTCATACCGGCCACACTGGGTCCTCCCTTTAACTCGAGAACACCGACGTAATCGCCTTGAGTGGAGCAGACAACGGTCACTCTGGGATCAGGAATGGAACAGTATTGTCTTTAGTGACGAGTCTCGATTTTGTTTGCACGATTGTCGTGCCAGGGTTAGAAGGCGACGTGGTGAAAGGAGGAATCCACAGTTTTTTGTTGAAGGACGTGTTCATCACACTGTTGGAGTTATGGTTTGGGGTGCTATAGCTTATGGTTCCAGGTCACCTTTAATTTTCATCAGAGGTAACATGAACGCGCAGCGTTATATCCACGAAGTTCTAGAACCCCATCTTTTACCCTATCTTGACACCCTGGCAGGTCCAACTTTCCAACAAGATAATGCCCGACCACATGTTGCAAGAGTCACAATAGACTTCTTTCAACATAATGATGTCACATTGTTACCATGGCCACCAAGATCTCCCGACTTATCCCCAATTGAGCACGTGTGGGATATGATGGGTAGGAGATTGCTCAATTTGCAACGTCCTCCTCAGACTCTAGAAGCACTTCGAGAGGAGTTGGTGGTTGCCTGGAATGAGATACCACAGGAGGACATTGACCACCTGATCAGAAGCATGCCTAAGCGCGTTGAAGAATGCGTAGCACATCAGGGTGCATCCACACATTATTAAAGGTCAAAGGGCTTTAAAGCAGTGCAATCATTTTGAAATTTTTATCATTTACTTATTATGCTTCATTAAGTACTTATACAAAATTTTATTAAAATAAAACCATTTAAACTGGGTGTTCGGATTTATATGTCGCTTAGTATATTTCCTCACACATTAGAGACATTTTATTGTTATTATTATTATTATTATTATTATTATTATTATTATTGGACATGATAGCTCGATTCTCTAGGACAACATCTGACTGTACTGATACAAATTGTACATTCTTTCAGATATTTGTAGAAAGTGCAGTTTTAGATAAAAATAACCGAATACGTAGTAGCAAATTCTTCCTGGGGATGTGTCATCAGAGCACGCTGGAAAAATGGAAATTTTGTTCACCACATCTGGAAAGGAAACGACCGCATAAGTGCAAGTTTCGCTTGAGGACTGGAAAATATCACGGAAGGGTCCACAGGCGATATTGCGACTTTGGTGTGTTGAGTCGAAATCCTGATTGTCCGTGCGTCAGTACCATTTTCGGAGAAACTATGTACAAAGTTATCGGTGAGTAACGCGCCTATGGAGCAACCTTCTCAGAGGTTTGTTAGTTAATGGAGTCAAGTAGGTTGACTCGGCGCTTCATCAGTTTATAAAGGAAGTTCGTCCCAAAAAAGAATCTAAGATAGACCCTTAGGCCTTTTTCGACAGGGGAAAATTCGTATAGACATTCTCAGGCAGAAAAATTCGACAGTAACTGAAAGCCCCTGTTTTCTTGTCGTCCTGTATCAAATCCGCAAAGCTATTCCATTTATATGCTTTTGTCAGCATCCGAAGGGCTTCAACAGTCGTAGGTAAGGGATGCAACGGGGACTCTCCGCGAAAAGCGAGGAACCCTCGGCATGCCCAAACACATTTATCACGGCCACTTAGATTCCATTAGGAAAAGCTGGAATTTATTGACGCGCCGCGGCATAGCGTTTAACGTGCATTTCAGCGAAAGCATCGCGGCAAAACCGATGGGCCGACCTCAGAGTCTATTTACTTTTTTATCTTTGTGTACACCGGATGCTAGGTAATGTGTATACGTTCTTCGGATGTCAGACGCACATTCCGTACGTTCGGGGGCTTGCTGCTATACAGAGCGTCAAAAAAATCAATCAGAAACTTTTTTACGACGAAGTAACCGCGCAGGCAGACGCTTAAATGGCAGGGCGCCGAGGCTGCTGTGAGGAACCTAAAAAACCTTTTCATCTGATTTTGGGACTGCCTAAGATCGCCAACGGCTGGCGCCGAAAATTCCCGAGACTGTTCGTTAAAGAAAGTACTGTGCTTTGGAAGCATCCATCTGTACAAGATTGCTGCGTCCCCGAATAGTGACAACCCCCAGGTCTCTCGTCAGAGAGCGTAGTCTTATTTTCTCCATCTTACCAGCAGAGATCTGCTTGTCACTCCTGAATGTAGAGTGCTGTTAACAGCAAAGCTATGGACCTGATTCACCGTACAGGAAATGAGGAAATGACAGCCAAGACCGATCCCTGGGGTACACCCGCGTTTACGTTAGGGGATGAGGAGGAGAACACTTCAATTACAATATTGTGTGACAAGATTGTCATCTACCCATCTGCAAAGCTTCTCAAAGAGCCCACAGGACGGAAGTTTTCGTGTCACAGCTGATCAAACGCCTTACTTATACAGTGGACCCCCGATAATCTGGCCCCTGTCTAATCTGGCGCCCCCTGTAATCCGACATGTCTTTGAATATGTATTACATACATACATACGTATTTGACAATCTTCGCTAATGTAGATCACGCAGATTTGAACAGGTTATAACTTGTACGCGCCACCGCTATCGTGCTCGACGCGTAAGCATTGTTTTACTTACAGTATATTCATCTAACAAGACCACGTGATCATCGAACGCTGTAACATTCGGCAGGGACGTATTAAGAGTCACGCAGTACATATTTTAGATAGTAGATGCTGCTTTGCGTAACTTTGTAGTAAATTAGCACAATTCGATGTGTATACGATTGGTGATGGATATAGGATCATGTGGGGGTGGGGTAAGAAATATACAATGATGTAAATATACATAAGGGTTTCAAAATTTTCGCTTCGATTTCCAGCTTCGGATGCCGTCTGATGTTTGGTGAAATACAGTCGAATATAATCTCAAAATGGCGTTTAAATTAGCCTAAATTAAAAATAATCGTATATCTCTTAAAATTGCCTTTAGAATATTGATTAGTATATTTTTTGATTTCTAGGTAAATATGTAACCAAATTAAAACGTTCAAAACGTAAAAAAATGTGCATGGCTGAACATTGTCAGAAAGTAGATTCTTGAATAGGTTTTGCCAAAATGGGTTCAAAAATGTCAATAATTAATTAAAAAATGCAGTAGCTTTATAATTACTTATAACTTACCGAATTTGATGAACGACATCTTTTATTGGAAAGAGGAGCTTGATGAGCTTTCATCATCGCTACTGCCTGAAGCACCAACGTCAATAATGAATGGCTCGACTTGTTCCTCTAAAATATTGTCCAGTTCCCACATTCTCTTCTCAACTTTGTCTTTCACGTGCTTAATACAGTTTTCCCATTTTTGCGCTGTTATTAATTCTAGTGCTTCTTTGAAAAGTCCTTTGAGGTCACAAAATTTAAAAGTTGTATTGTGCTTAGCTATATAATTTTTAAGCTCTGCCCATATGAACTCAATGGGATTGAGCTCGCAATGGTGTGGAGGTAAACGGAGCACAGTTTTATTTTGACATGCTGCCATTTCGTCAATGGCGTATTTTTGATATTCCGCCTTGTGATCCTTGACAATTCTTAATAATTGTACTTTCAGCATTGCTTCTTCAAAGTTGATATTTTTCGAACGGAGCCAATTTTGAACATCAACTTTCCTTGAAGCCGTTGTTGGGACCTTCTCCATTCTTCGAGAATGATAAGGCGCATTATCCAACACAATTACTGCGTTTTCCTCTAAGTTCGGTAAAATTTTTGAAAACCACTGTTCAAACGATTTGCCATTCATTTCCCCGTGGTAATCTCCAGTTTTCTTAGACTCAAAGCACCACAGACCGTCAACAACAAATCCATCCTCACTGCCAATATGGCAGATAATGAACATTTTCCCTTTACCTGGAAATCGAAGTACTAACTGGTGTAGATTTATTTTAATAAGCGAACCTTTTTCAAATGTTTTCATCACATTCAGCGAAAAAACATTGAGACATGAGTATCAGATTGCTATAATTGGGATTATTTAGTCATATTGAAAGAAAGAATATTGAACGTCGTATGATTACTCAGCGCTTCACAATTTAATTTAAAGTTATAAACCTTTAAAAAATGAATGATCAGGAACCTGAAATACGCGCAAATATTAATATTAACAAATTATAACTTTATAAAGCTTAAAGTATGAATTAAAATGGTTAGAAATATTAGGAACGGTACACAATATAAAACTTAGTAACTTTTTTTAAGTTTATAATATTCGACATATTTTAAGATTATATTAAAAAATTATTGAAATATCGAAAACACATAAAAACATGGCTTAAAAAAGTTCTAACAAATGAAAATGACAATAAAACATCGACGCATTTTATCGAAAGTTAAAGTTTTGTTACTTGTAATATGTTTTATCTGCCCCCTGGAATTAATGTTTAGAACCTTGTTCCCAAGGTTTGAAAAACGTCCGATTGTTGTCTATTACTCGTATTTACCTGCTGGATTTTTTAATCCGGTGGACAGTCCATCTAGAAAGGCCCTCCTGGATGAAGTTACAGAATCATTAACCCATACTTTACTTGTAGTGTGTCCTGCGTTTACCCACGTTTCGTCAAGGTAATAAATCTTCCTGTTTTGATTTCTATATTTCCCAATTTTTGTTAAATAATCCCTCCTCCATAGCACAATTTCTTCTCTATCCAGTAGTAAACTATTACGACCCCGTTTTTTCCATTTGAAATTTAAATGCTTCAGTAACGCATGGAAAGTTGATCGTTTGAAATTTGGCAACGTTGTATCTCCATTTACCTCCTGCAGTACTTTATCTATAGTAGGTATTTCATTCCTAAAGAAGAATTCATGCACTTTCCTCCTAATCGCATGCTTATCAGCTTCATCCAATGATTTAACAATACTTTTGCGATGTTTACTGGTCATTGGCTCAGAAAAGGTGTGATTTTTTTTGTATTGTCTTAACACATTAAACACTGATGCGCGACACACCCCAACTTTGTGAGAAACCTTCACAACAATTTCTTTGATGGTTGATGCCTCGTTCTCCTCGCGCTCGATCTTATATATATTCAAAATGACCTCTTTCATTTCTGCACTCAGGTGTCTTTTTTTAGAGCGTTTCCTAGGTGGACTACAGGAGTTTACAACTTCATCGGCAGTATCTGTACTACTGGGCATTTTGCGCAAGCAGTTGATAACAATAACAATCAATAACAAGGTATAAGAATAACAACGACAAACTCAACAACTTAATAAGATAACAAACGAAAACGTCCAAAGAAATATCAAATTGCAATGATGCACACGACATACGTAACACGTCTGAACCTGAATGTGACTCTGCCTTGATGCGACTGCTCTGCCGCTCGGCATAGGCATTTAATTGCGAATTGACCAATGAGGGCTCCTGTTTTACGTCGAGACGGCGGCGTTAGCGTGAAAATCACCCGAACCTTTTGTTTACATCCGGTCTATCTCTTATCTGAATATACTGTAGGTCCGTAGTTGTAAGGGTCGATCTTAGATCTTTTTTTTTAGATGGATTGGACATGAGCACTGAATAGAACAACTGAATAGAAAGTGCTCCCTTAAGGTGCTCAGACATTTGCCTGGGGAATAGTACCTATAAATCGATCGAATAGCTTGCTGTGATGGGACAAAGTGTGACAACCTTTAATGGAAATAAATGAGACGTCCATAGGAATTCTTCTCAACTTTCCTTTTCAGGATTTCCTGCATGTTACATCCCACCTTTATCTGATACGTTATGCAGGTACAATCCATGTGGAATGGAGCAGTGTCAACCGACCAAAGTTGAGGATACAATTTTTTCTCTTGAATGTCACCCGAAGTGTGATGGTAGTAATCCGGTAATAGCTTTATCCGTTTTACTATATTTTCTGCGTGCCTAAATTTGAAAAACAGTTAATACAATATTTAGCTTGGTTTTCAAAGACAGATGGAATAGATTTATCTAGACTTCGCCTATCAGGAATTATATGTTATGTACATTTGTATTCCAATAAAAACCTTTTACTATCATTATTATTTCAATTTTAGTTTTGCGAGCACCCCTTGGATAAATCAGCTGCACTGCCTTTAATCTCCTCCAATTGGACCAGTTGGAAACTTTTAGATACACAGAAAGTAGCAACGAACGCGGGACAAAAACTATATCAGTCAATATGCACAAACAGACTCACGTCGGTAGATAATTTGTGGATCGTTTGTTCGAGGTTTGCTAATATTGTGCTACATTGTTTTATAGGAATCAAAGTGATGTCGATTGTCTTGGACCAGGTACAGCTTGGTAAGCTTATAAAAATTAATTCAAATAAGACACAGACACCAAAAAGTGTAACCATTCTTTTATATCTTGGCTAAATAGAATCTTTTTGCTTTACATCTCTGCAACCATAACCAACTGTATGCAATGTCCTTTCATGCTTTCCATCAATTATCAGTACGGCATGGGTCTAGTCATTTGGAGATATGACGGGGAGCAAATTGCAAGGTCAATTATTTTGCTGATGAACCACATGACATATGAATTTTTAGCTGCCCGGAAACTATTCAAAACTGCACCTGTGAGGTTTATCAAGAAAATGGTACTGCCATAGCAGAACGTGTAATTTATACAGATCAAGGGAACCACACTTTGGGTATGAACTAAATGTTATTACGTATTCTTTTGGTATGCACTATTAATACACTTTACCTCATCAATGTTCCGCTGATTGCAAAGTATTTTGCACTAGGTGCGTAATTCATACACCAAGTGGAAGAGTCAATCGATTTATTGAAATTTTTTAAAGTATATGTGCAAAACGTTATTACAGGAATTGCACAAATGTACATTTAGGAGACTTCAATATAAATTTTGACAGTAAAGATTTCTATGTTACAAAATAAAAGTACTAAACTTACATGGATTAAGGCAGAAAATAGATGACTATACAAGGATTACGAACTTTTCCAAAACAAAAATAGATTTGCTCATAACTAATGAACAAAATTTAATTGCTGAAGTTAGGCATACCCCACAGATAAGTGATCACTCATGGATATATTTCGAGGTTATTTAGTTCTCGTTTTCATATTCAAATTAAAAAATCATTTATTACCACCACACTTAGCGCACCTCACAAAATTAAATAGTTATTATAATAACTACGAATTTAGAGGCAGTATAGCTTTTATCTGCAAAATTGTAATAGTAGCATAACTAGTAAATCTAAATTTCAAAAGGGAGTATTTGAATTTAATAAGTTGGATAACAATATTAAACAAAGTTCGATATAAAAATGTTTAAGGTGAAATTAAAAAATCACTTTATGAATAATCAAAATACATAGTGACGTAATTTTAATTTCAATTTTAATATATAAGAATGTAAAATTACACAAAATGGATTGAAGAAAAATATGTAACCGAATGATTATACAAAATTGACATTGTAGCATTAATGCTAAATAAATACTCAACAACAACAACAAATTATATATATGTACATGCCAGTGGAATATGCTGTTATGTCGATTGCATTGAATTTGTAGCGATTGTACTTCTCCTAATTTAATTCATAGTAGTGCTCCTCTTATATCACGACACAGACTCTCTTATTTGGCCGTATTTATCTTTCAGAAAGAAGAAAAAGCTTCACAGAGGACAGTTTGACAATTGATCTGCTCCCAGAAAGTAATAACGAGGATGATCAGAAACGACACGCTAGAGGTATATGACAATTCCTGGACTTCCACTTCCTCTCTACCTTAATGATATCGTTTGGTCGATAAGAGTCGGAATTATATACTTACTGAGAATCTTTGACTTCATGATCACAGACGAACAGTAGATCTCGCTAAGAAAATAAAATCTAACCTCCTTGCTGTTCCTGTTCGATTACAGAAACTAATGACGTTACCGAAGATATAGCTGACGATGATGAAGACATAGACGAAGAAAGCGACGATGATGATATTGTAATGGAAGAAAACACTCAATTTGAAGAAGGTGTAACCACGTCTACTGAAGAGATGGAAAGAGATGAACTTGTGACTGTCAGTGACTATGAAAGGAATGGTAACAGTTCAGCTGCGTTTGATGAAATCATAGTAGCTGAGAATACTACTGCTAGTTTTAAACGCGGTAGAGGAGGAGATAGTGATATAAGACCTTTCAGATGTGTCTATTATATTTATATCTACGTCGTGTATTATACAATGAAGTAGTTGAATATTGCAATTATAGCATTGTTAACAAGTCGTAAGCTACACTGTTAATTCGTATGTTGGCGGGTCCGCAACTACGGGCGATAGAACAAATTCCGTCTCATTCAGCATTTTCTTTGCCGACATATCCGAACTTGCCGTTCTGTGCACGACAACCCTTTATTGATAATAAATAAACGAAGATCTGGAGGAAAGCGTAACGCCCAAAAGTAGAGCCGTCATCCTAGCGAGGTCAATGGGTTGCCCTCCACATTTTCCCTTTTCTATACGGTTATGGCGCTGTCGTCCTTCAGGGCTGGAACTGACACAAGTCAAACAACTACACGCGGGCAATCTCGTAAAAAGGGATTGATAAGGAAAGGGTCTAATTTTACAGCAAGTGCCGGCTTTTTTTTTGATCGCGCTAGGCTCGATCGAGTATACAAGAATTTTTACAACTTATTCTGATATTACCGTGATACAGACGAGTATGTGTATTGAATAATGTCAGACATTTACTGTCTATAGAGCTGTTATGATATCAATAAAAATGTCGCACACGGCTTATCCAGAAAATGTGATGTTCACCAGAAAAATTGGTTTTTACAGAAACGCACATATCTGAGATTAAACACGTTGGTATACACAGAAAACAGGGAGGGTCAAATTTTGCGTTGAAATCAAATTAAAATAGACTCCTTGGGATGAGTCCGAATTCTATATCAAATGTTTGACCTAGTTAGTTTGTGTTATGTGAAAAAGGCAAGGCCTTTCACGTGAAGTGGAAAGCGAAGTTTTAACGTCCATTGGGCCTCTTTGTACATATAATAGATGTGAAAAAAACGCATTTTTTTTCATGGGATGTTTATTTGCTAAATTGTGAGCTTACCAAAAAGTAGCCATAATTTTTTTGGTGCATTTAATATACTAAGTGACATATAAATCCGAACACCCAGTTTAAATGGTTTTATTTTAATAAAATTTTGTATAAGTACTTAATGAAGCATAATAAGTAAATGATAAAAATTTCAAAATAATTGCACTGATTTAAAGCCCTTTGACCTTTAATAATGTGTGGATGCACCCTGATGTGCTACGCATTCTCCAACGCGCCTAGGCATGCTTCTGATCAGGTGGTTAATGTCCTCCTGTGGTATCTCATTCCAGGCAACCACCAACTCCTCTCGAAGTGCTTCTAGAGTCTGAGGAGGACGTTGCAAATTGAGCAATCTGCTACCCATCATATCCCACACGTGCTCAATTGGGGATAAGTCGGGAGATCTTGGTGGCCATGGTAACAATGTGACATCATTATGTTGAAAGAAGTCTATTGTGACTCTTGCAACATGTGGTCGGGCATTATCTTGTTGGAAAGTTGGATCTGCCAGGGTGTCAAGATAGGGTAAAATATGGGGTTCTAGAACTTCGTGGGTATAACGCTGCGCGTTCATGTTACCTCTGATGAAGATTAAAGGTGACCTGGAACCATAAGCTATAGCACCCCAAACCATAACTCCAACAGTGTGATGAACATGTCTTTCAACAAAAAACTGTGGATTCCTCCTTTCACCACGTCGCCTTCTAACCCTGGCACGACCATCGTGCATGCCTAAACAAAATCGAGACTCGTCACTAAAGACAATACTGTTCCATTCCTGATCCCAGAGTGACCGTTGTCTGCACCACTCAAGGCGATTACGTCGGTGTTCTCGAGTTAAAGGGAGGACCCAGTGTGGCCGGTATGAAAACAAGCCAAAACTTCTCATTCGTCGGTAAACACTTCGCATGCCAATAGGTCTTCCGTGTTCTGCAAACCATTCATTTGCAATGGACCTGGTAGTGGAGAAACGGTCCCTTAAGGCCAATAATCTTAGGCGGCGATCTTCACAGTCTGTTGTTCTACGGCGGCGTCCAGTGCCCCTTGCTCTTTGCGTACGGCCTTCTCGAAGCCATGGCTAACAACACCTAACCACAGTGTCTACACTTCTTTGCACTCTAACTGCAATTGCCCGAAAAGAAATTCTATAACCTTAGTTATGAACTGAATACTTGCTGCTGAAGAGATAAGTTACCCGATTTTCATCTACGAAATCGGTAAAACATACTTAGATTTCGCTTCCCCATCTTCCAAATGCATTCCTGATTTGTTTACGAGGCTTTTAGGAAGCGTGGCTCGTTTTTCACAGATACCACCACTTTCCGGGAAAGGGAAACCCACCCAGCGTTTGTCCCTGTTCGATTTTAAATCTTGTTGTAAATGAAAATTTACGATGTCTGGTTTCACTGTATGGTTACGCCCTTTCTGCTATCTCGCCGCTATGGATTCGCTTTTCTTTTCACTTTTTCATGAGAAAATTTATTGAGAGGGGTGACGTTTTGTTGTTTGCGAAATTTTACTTGTAGTGCGATGGCGAATAAGCACAAAAAGTGATGCCAGGTAGGTTAACTCTGTGGCAGCGTTACATAGAGTCTCAGAAGTATTGAAGACTCTTAGATATTCCAAAGTATCTCAGAAAATTAGGCTTAGAAGAATAAAAGATCTCGAGCAATGGGCGGCATGTGTCTATTTACTCCTTAAAACATCCCTTTTTACGCTTAATTGAATTATTATTTTATTATAATTTCACTTAATATACAGGGTGTTTCAGTTTATTGTTGCATAACTTTAAGATTCGATAGAACTTTTAAAATTAATGCATAAAGTCTATATAAACATGGGTCGAAAAATTCGTGGCTTCCGAAATACAGGGTGCTTAAATTTACTTTCTAAAATAGTTTTTATAAGTATTTCGAACAATATTTGATGTATAACAGTGAAAATTGGTATACAAGGGTTTTTTGGTACGGAAAAACTAACCATGGGCATAGTTTTACTGTAGCCGCTAGAGGGCGCTCTCTACTGTACCTGTAGTGTATTAAAATGACCGAAAAAATTTTCTTAGTGCAATTTGTTGCTTTTTGAATAAAAATACTGATTCTTCGCACTTTTCAACATAAAAAAGCTCTCCTGTGAGTTTTCGTTATAGTTAGCCGTTTTTGAGATATTTCGATTCTTAAGGTTCGATGCATTTTTAATTATTTATGGGAAAATAATATTTTTTTTTACATTTTCGATTTGGGCATTACAAGTAATTCAGATGATCAGCAATAATTCCTAACTCCAAATAAACACAAAAAACAATATTAATTTGTTTAATTTTACAATATTGTTTTTAACAACTTAAATTAATTATTTACAACTAAAATGCTATTGGATAGTTAGGACAAACATACAAAATCTAAAGTAGTTGCTCGAAATGTAAACCCAATTGTTCACATCTACGAATGATCAAACGTGGCATAGCATTATTCAAATAAGGCCTTATTTCATCACATGCATTCATGATTAGCATATCTCTTGTGGTTACGGGTGTCTGGTACACTTTTTCTTTTAGGAATCCCCACACAAAGAAATCTAATGGATCGTGGAGGCCAGGCGACTGGTCCTCCACGGCCGATCCATCTTTCTGGATAATGTTCATCCAGCCAGTTTCTAACTATTCTCGAATAATGCGCTGGGCAACCATCAAGCTGGAACCAGGCCAATGTTCTTAAATCTAACATAACATCATCCCACATATTTGCATGTTCAGCCTTTAAAAATTCTAAGAAGGTCGCAGCATTTAACCTTGCAGGCAAAAGGTAGGGTCCAAATAGTCGATTACGGTAGATACCAATCCAAACGTTCACAATAAATTCATGCTGAAAATTTCTTTCCCGAACTGCATGCGGATTTTCATGCGACCAAATATGTTGATTATGAAAATTTACCACTCCACGTCTAGTGAAGCATGACTCTTCGGTCCATAAAACGTTACTTAAAAACTCCCTATTATTATCAGTTCTATCAAGAATCCACTGAGAAAATGTGATTCTTCGTTCTCCGTCCCCTGGCTGTAGTCCTTGCACAGGTTGCAAATGGTAAGGACGTCTATGGTCATTTCTAAGAACACGGTGAACATGGCTTGCTGAAATTCCCAAGGCACCAGAAACTCTCCTAACACATGTGGTCGGATCTCTATCAAACTCACGCAGAATCATACGGGTAAATCTGCGCTGACGAACATTTATGTTTTGATCCCTTTGGAGATTTCCAAAACCATTTTCAATTATTTGGCGATGCACTCTTACAAATACTGAGCGAGTTGGATGTCGTCTGTTTGGAAATCTTCGTGCGTATTCTCTGACTGCTTCTGCTGCGTTTCCATTTACAAAGCCATACACAAAATGAATATCCGCTAACTCTTGATTGGAGAATAAAAATGGCATTTTTATAAAACTTACAAAAAAAAACAGGTAAAAGAAACTAAATTTCGTGCATTCACAATTGCAAAAAAACGTTTCAGGTTTCAACAGACAACAAAACTGTCAATTAATTGACGTTTAACCTTATGCTGCTTTCAATTTCAAAAATATTTGCAGGCACAGCCTACTTCTAAAATTATCGAGATACTGACTTTTCAACGTTATTTTATCATAAATAATTAAAAATGCATCGAACCTTGAAAATCGAAATATCTCAAAAACGGCTAACTATAACGAAAACTCACAGGAGAGCTTTTTATGTTGAAAAGTGCGAAGAATCAGTATTTTTATTCAAAAAGCAAAAAATTGCACTAAGAAAAAATTTTCGGTCATTTTAATACACTACAGTGTACAGTAAAGAGCGCCCTCTAGCGGCTACAGTAAAACTATGTCGTACCAAAAAACCCTTGTATACCAATTTTCACTGTTATACATCAAATATTGTTCGAAATATTTAAAAAAAACTATTTTAGAAAGTAAATTTAAACACCCTGTATTTCAGAAGTCACGCATTTTTTGACCCATATTTGTATAGACTTTATGCATTAATTTTAAAAGTTCTATCGAATCTTAAAGTTATGCAACAATAAACTGAAACACCCTGTATATCTTTAGATCCACGACAAGTATCGATATCTCTCGACTCTTGTCGTTTTAGGAAGTATTGATACTCTAAAATATTGGAATAAAATTATCG